CGTACCTGCACGAGGGAAGGGTCAGCAGCTGCCCACCCGCCCGGCATGGACCCCCAGAGCTGGTCTTGACGGTCCCTCCCAACCCAAACCACTCCATCCTTGCCCGTGGACGCAGGAGGAGCCTGGAGGGTGGTCGGTGCTCCACGTGGGAGCCACCACTCCCATCATGGTTCATCATGTTCCCCCTTCCTCATTCCGGTTTCCCCCTTCCTCCCCTAATTAACCCGCCCCAGCGCCCACCAAGCCCAGCTCTCTGTGTATCCCATCGCAGAGGTTTGATCCCAGCTCCCTCCCAGTGCCCCGGGAGGGATGGGGGAAGCGGCACCAACCAGTGGAAGAAGACCCCCAGGGGTTTGGTGGGAGGGAAGAAGCGGCTGTCGAGGAAGTGGAGCTGGTTGTAATATTCCATCAGCAGCTCCAGCCCGGCTTCGTTGCGGCTCGGTGTGCGCATGGCCTGGGGGATGGGAGAGGAGATGTGGGAGTGGGAAAAGAGGGGGGAAATCCCTGAGGTTGAGGCCCCCCCCCCAGAAAGACTCCCTGAGAATGGGGGTGGATCAGCCTGAAGAAGGGAAGGATCCAGGGAAAACCTTAGAGTCCTTTCCAGAGCCTAAAGGGGCTCCAGGAGACCTGGAAAGGGACTGGGGACAAGGGATGGAAGGACAGGACACAGGGAATGGCTTCCCAAGGTTAGATGGGATATTGGGAAGGAATTCCTGGCTGGGAGGGTGGGGAGGGGCTGGCATGGAATTCCCAGAGAAGCTGTGGCTGCCCCATCCCTGGAAGTGTCCAAGGCCAGCTTGGAGCAACCTGGGATAGCGGAAAGTGTCCCTGCCCATGACAGGGGATTGGAACTGGATGCTCTTGAAGATCCATTATATTGTATTTTCTATCTATTTCTAGGATATAAACATACAGGGAATAGGACTTTTTTTTTCCTCCTTTCCCAATTGTTTTCTATTTGCTCTTCTCCAAAGCCCAACTGGACAAGGAGCAGTCGTTCAGCTTTGCCATTTAGTGAACTGATATTCCTAAATCAGGGCATGAAGGAAAGGGAAAATCAACAACTACTGACCACTCTGGAATCTTTTCTAACCCATAAACCAAAGCCCAGGTGCTACAGGGTGGGAATCCTGAATCCCAAAACACAGGGACGAGGGGAAAGTTTGGAGAGAGGATGAAGGGACATCCCAGAGCAAAACGTGGCATTTTCAAGGAGTGATCCCAGACAAGCCAAAGCCAGACTTTGCATCCCAAGGGACACCAACCTGCCTCAGTTCCATGAACTCCTTGATTTCTTTCTCAAACAGGACACCTTCCTCCCCATAGTGTTCACTGATGAAATCCTGGATGGAAAAATAAAAAAAAAACAGGAGAAAACTCTGAGTGACCCCTCAAAACAAGATTTTTATGATTAAAGGGGGACTTTGGATAATTCTGGACAAGCAATTTGCCAGCTCTGCCCACAAGGAAACAGGGAAAACCATCTCCTCCTTCTTTCGAGACAATCTCCAGCATTTCCAGACCCTCATCTCCCACTTTCCCATGTTTTAAGTTCGGTTCTTCCCAAGACTTTATTTTTATTGCAGCTGTTCCAAACTAGGAAATGCCTTTTTTTTTTCCCAGCTGCTTCAAGAATCTTCCATCCATCCAGGGCACAAAACTCACCTTCAGTGGGACCAGCAAATCCAGCTCCTTGGTCTCCTTCAATCCCAAAGGGATCATGGGGACACTGATGGACTCACTGGAAAAGACAACAATTTATTTGGGGTTTGGTCTCCAAGTCTTGGAGGGATCCTGCGTGACAGGGACTAAAACGGAGCAGCTCTTTGCACCTAAAAAAGAGTTAAAGATAGCCTTGGCACAGCACAAGGATACTCTTCCCAAAATAATTTGGGAATGGCAGCGCAAAGAGAACCCGAGAACATCGCTCTTATTCCTTCACCTTCTGCTTTTCATGGAATTTTTGGGGTTGGAAGGGAGCTGAAAGATCATCCAGTTCCATCCCCTGCCACGGGCAAGGACATGTCCCACTGTCCCAGTTTTCTCCAAGCCCTCTCCAACCTGGCTTTGGACACTTCCAGGAATGGGGCAGCCACAGATTCTCTGGGAATTCTCTTCCAGCACCTCCCCACCTTCATGGATTGAACAGTCCCACACATCCTTGGACACCTGGACTCCCAAGGGATGGGTTTAGGGACAAGAAAATTTGGCAGACAGAGGGATGGGAGGTGGGACAGGCAGGATCCCACCACACCTCCCCCTCCTTCCCTCCAAAATTAACCTGATAACTCATTATCCCATCGCTCATTAACGAGGAAAAGAGGCACAGGAAGCTACAAAATCCAGGGGGAGCAGGGCAAGGAATTTTTCCCCCACACTTCCAGCCGTTTCATCCCGAACAAACAGCTCCAAGAGCCATAATTAGGGCAGCAAACCCGTCACCGCTCGTTCCCTAACGAGATTTCCACTTGGATCCAACGCCTGGAGCAAACAAAGGGACTTCTGTTTGTCCTGGGCAGAGGTTTGGGATTGGTGCTGCCCTTGTTTTCTTCTGAAATCAGGGCAAACAAGGCTGGGAAAGCCAAAAATCCCTGAAAGGGAATGCGGGCGAGGATATGTGAATCCCTGTTTTTGGGCAGAAGAAGAAGGATCAGTATCCAGGATTAAATCCAGACTCCAAAAGAACCCTCTAAAGGGCAGGAAACACCTGGAGATGGTGGAGTTTCCTTGGGTTTTTCTCCATAGGAAACTTGTGATCCTAAAAAAAAAAATCCAGCAGCCAAGGTCATCCCAGTCCTACTTTTAATGGCACTGCAGGATGGAGTGATTCCATCACCCTCTGGAGTCACTGGTGCTCTCCTGGTTTTTGCATCCTTGTTCCCAGCAGCCCAGGAATCCTTCCCATGTGCCAGGAAAAGCAGGATGGGCACTCAAACGTAGAATTATGGAATTGTTTGGGTTGGAGGGACCCAAAAGATTGTGGAATTCCAACCCCCTGCCATGAGCAGGGACCCCCCCTCCCACTATCCCACGTCGCTCCAACCTGGCCTTGGACACTTCTGCAGCTTCTCTGGGAATTCCATCCCGCCACCTCCCCACCTTCCCAGGGAAAAACTCCTTCCCAATCTCCCCAAAATTACACCCTGAGGATAAAACCAAATTCCCGAGGGATCCAGGAGCTCTTCCCAGCCGTCCCCACGGATGGACCTGTCGTTCTGATAGATGTCCACGCTGCTGTTGAGCTCCTCCAGCTCCTCCTTCAGCAGCTGCAGGTTGGAGTTGACGTAGCTCAGCTCCAGGGCGACCGTCTCCTTCACCTTGTGGTTGCTGGTGGCCCTGCAAGGCAAATTCCTTGGGATCAAACCTCATCCAGGTCTTTGTTTATCCATGGCTGGTTGTTGGGGTCGATAGGGGTGGAGTGGATCGGGTGGATCCATCCAAACTTCTCCTGTACAACTGGAAAGGCGGAAGGTTCTTCGTGTGACTGTGGAAGGGTTTGGGTGGGGAGGGACCTGAAAGATCCTGGAATTCCAACCATGGGACACCTCCCGCTAGCCCAGGTTGATCCAACCTGGCCTTGGATGCTTCCAGGGATGGGGCAGCCACAGCTTCTCTGGGAATTCCACTCCAGCCCCTCACCACCCTCCCAGCCAGGAATTCCTTCCCAATATCCCATCTATCCCTGCCCTCTGTCCCTTTACAGCCATTCCCTGTGTCCTGTCCCTCCATCCCTTGTCCCAGTTCCCTCTCCAGCTCTCCTGGAGCCCCTTCAGACATTGGAAGGGGCTCCAAGACCTCCCTGGATCCTTCCCTTCTCCAGGCTGAACATTCCCAGCTCTCCCAGCCTTTTAGGACCAGGCAATCCTTCCTCTTCCAGAGCATCCCAGACCACCTGGCTGCAACCAAAACTCCTTCCACTGCTGCATCCAGCTATTCCCATCCCAGAGAAACCTTCCCCTTTCCCCTCCCTGCTCCCATTTCCAGTGCAGCTCCCAGATTTGCCCGTGAACACATTCCAGGTGCTCCCCCACCTCAAATAAACCCTCTTCCAGGTTGGATTGGAGGTGGAAAAAGCTCATTTTTTGTCCACAAGAGAAGAGACTCCCTGAGCTCACCCAGCAGGGCCAGACCTTCCCGACCTTCCCAGCTCCAAGAATCCGGAATTGGAAACCCCCAGGGATTGATTTCAGCCGCCTGTTCCCAGCAGGACGAGCTCCCAGGCTGATTAAAACCCTCCTGATCTGCTCCCAAGAAAAGCAGGGAGAGAACTCAGAGCTCCCAACGCTCTGGAAGAGGCTCCTGCTGCCAAAAACATCCCATGGATGGGGTTTTTTTCCAGGGAAAACACCACGTGCATGGGCTCTGCTTGGCCAGGGCATCTCTTCCCTCTGGTTTTTTCAGGTCACATTTCCTTGGATTTTAGTGGGTTTTTTTTGTGGATTGGATCTTTAAGGGGGTGGTTTGCTTTTAAAACCTGGTTTTAGTGCCTCCTCCTTCCCCCTTTCCTGGCTGGGGTTTCCCAGTGGGATGAAATTGGGTTTATTCCCAACAAACGAAGCCAAAACCACGGCAGGGCCCAAGAATTCCCGGGGCTGCTTCCCTTGGGACATCCCTTGGAATTCCTCGTGCAGGATCAGCACCATCCATCCATCCAAACCACTGTTTAGTCCCTATAAACCAGTATTTAATCCCTATAAACCAATTCCTATAAACCAGTATTTAATAAGCCAGTTTTAGTGACTATGAACAGTTTTAGTCCCAATAAACCAGTTTTTAGTCCCTATAAACCACTATTTAATCTCTACAAATCAGGATATATTCCCTATAAACCAGTATTTAATCCCTGTAAACCAATTCCTATAAACCAGTATTTAGTAAGCCAGTTTTAGTGACTCTGAACCAGTTTTTGTCCCTATAAACCAGTTTTTAGTTCTTATAAACCAATCCCTATAAACCAGCTTTTAGTCCCTTTAAACCAGCTTTTAGTCCACATAAACCAATTCCTATAAACCAGTATTTAGTAAGCCAGTTTTAGTGACTATAAACCAGTTTAGTCCCTATAAACCAGTCCCTATAATCCAATCCCTATAAAGCAGGTTTTGTCCCTATAAACCAGTTTTGGTGTCCCTTGGGATGCAAAGTCTGGGATGCCCCTTCATCCTCTCTCCAAACTCGTCCCTGTGTTTTGGGATTCAGGATTCCCACCCTGGAGCACCTGGGCTTTGGTTTATGGGTTAGAAAAGATTCCAGAGTGGTCAATAGTTGTTTATTTTCCCTTTCCTTCATGCCCAGGTTTAGGAATATCAGTTCACTAAATGGCAAAGCTGAACAGCTGCTCCTTGTCCAGCTGGGCTTTGGAGAAGAGCAAATAGAAAACAATTGGGAAAGGAGGAAAAAAAATCCTATTCCCTGTATGTTTATATCCTAGAAATAGATAGAAAATACAATATAATGGATCTTCAAGAGCATCCAGTTCCAATCCCCTGTCATGGGCAGGGACACCTCCCACTAGCCCAGGTTGCTCCAACCTGGCCTGGGACACTTCCAGGGATGGAGCAGCCACAGCTTCTCTGGGAATTCCATTCCACCACCTCTCCACCCTCCCAGCCAGGAATTCCTTCCCAATATCCCATCTAAAGCTCCTGTATTTCAGTTTGAAGCCATTCCCTGTGTGCTGTCCCTACATCCCTTGTCCCTCTCCAGCTCTCCTGGAGCCCCTTTAGGCCCTGGAAGGGGCTCCAAGGTCTTCCCTGGATCCTTCTCCAAGTGAACATCCCCAGCTCTCCCAGCCCGGCTCCAGCCCTTGGAGCATCTCCATGGGCTCCTCTGGATTCCCTAATTAAGAGCAAGGACTTCCAGAGGGGAAATTTAGGGGAACTCTCCACTCTTTCCCTGAGGAATTCTGCACAGAGCCCTTTCCTGGGGCAGCTCCCACCCCATTCCAGAGCCCTCAATGTCTCCAGCACTTCCTTCCCTCTAATCATCAGCCCTTTCCCAGCACCAAAGAAACATTCCTGATTTATTGGATTCCTTTCCAACCACCTGTTTTATCACCTTTATCTCCCCCCTCACTCCAGGTTTTTGAATAGGAAAGGAAAAGGTTTCTTTGGCCTCTTCTCATTTATTTTCCCAGTAAACAAACCCCAAAAGGAATTTTTTTCCCAACACTCCATCCATGGAAAATTCCCCAAATTCTGTTCCACAGAACAGTCAGAGCATTTTTTTCCAAGCATTTTGCTGGCTTTTAATTAATTTTAAAGATGAAGAAACCACCAAGTCCAACCACAAATTCTGGACAGCATTTCCCCTCTTCCATTTAGGACTTTCCTGAAGAGATCCAATGGAATTTTACCCATGGAAAACAAGTCTATAATTCTGAAGCAATCACCTCTAGATTTACAACACAACCCCCCTCCTCCTCCTCAGCCTTTAATTCACCCACAAATTGGATTATTTATTCCCACCCACTCCCAGGTTTCCAAGCTTTCCTAAACTCGGAGCACTGGAATTCCCAGAAAACCACCTTATTACTCAGCTGCAAAGTGGATTTGTGGGAGGGAGGGAGGGAGGGAAAGTGGCTGCTCCAAAGGACATCAAACTGCTGAGGCAGCAAGAAAAAAAATGCCTCCTCAGTGCATTTCCCTGCCTGGGTAATTAAGATTTGGTTTGTGGGAAGTCATTCTTATTTTATTTAGGATTAAAAAAAAAAAAAAAGGATATCAAAATATTGGGAAAATATGCCCAAATAAAAGGGCAGTTTTATGGTATTTTCTGAGATTATTTCTTATATTCCAGCCCTGCCCTGGATATGTGATCCAATATATTCCAGAGAAATGAAATCGAGGCAAAGAGATGCTAAAAACGGTCATTTTGGGGGTTAAAAAATACATAAAATAGCTGCCAAAAAATCGTGTGATTGTCCCAAAAACATTCCAAAGGGAACGGCGTCAACGAATTGGATCCTGTGGGGGTGGAGCAGCTGAAATCCATCAGCCTGGAAAGGTGACAGTGGTGGCACCACCCCAGGAATGCACCTTCCAGAGGATCCTGGAGTGGGCTGGGTTGGAAGGGACCTTCAGGATCCTCTGGAGAAGAAGAGAATTCCAAGAGAAGCTGTGGCTGCCCCATCCCTGGAATGTTCAAGGCCGGGTTGGAGCAACCTGGGATAGTGGGATGTGTCCATGCCCACGGCAGGGGGTGGAATGAGATGGTCTTGAAGGTCCCTTCCAACCCAACCCATTCCAGGATTCCATGGGAAGATGCATTTCTGGGATGGTCTTTCCACGATGATGATCCATGAAGAAGGGAGAAGAGCCCTTTGGGGAAAAACATCCCAGGATTTGCATCCCTGGAAGCACCAGGAAGGGGATTTTTTGGGGGAGGAAAAAACAGGTTTGGATGGGACATCAGGAAAAATTTCTGCCCTGAAAGGGACATCCAGCACTGGGAAAAGCTGGCCTTGGACACTTTCAGGGATGGAGCAGCCACAGCTTCTCTGGGAATTCCATTTCAGTCCCTCCTCACCCTCCCAGCCAGGAATTCCTTCCCAGTATCCCACCTAAAGATCCCGTATTTCACTTTGAAGCCATTCCCTGTGTCCTGTCCCTCCATCCCTTGTCCCCAGTCCCTCTCCAGGTCTCCTGGAGCCCCTTTAGGCTCTGGAAGGAGCTCCAAGGTCTCCCTGGATCCTTCCCTTCTCCAGATGAACATCCCAGCCTGTCTCCAGCCCTTGGAGCATCTCCATGACCTCCTCCCGACTGAATCCAACATATCCCTGTCAGCCACTTGCTGGATTATCAAGCAGGACTTTTCCACTCCAAGCTCCTTCCCAGTCCAACATCTCTTCCCATCATCCCATCTGCCCCCATCCTCCTTCCTCACAACCTTCTGGGACTCCCAAATTGCAATTTTTAATTAAAAGGGAGAACAGGAATTTCCAGGATAAATCCTTCCGAGCCAAGGGAAGGCTGAGCCAAAAAAAAAACCCCAACCACATCAAGACCACGTTCCCACATCCAAGCAGATTCCTGAGGGATGTCCAGGAGAGCAGGACTCACCTGAAGAGGTTTTCTGCTCCCGCCCTCATCCTCATCTCCTTGTTGATCTGCTGGTTGATCCGGGCCCGGCGATGTTGGAGTTTGCTCCGTTGGGTCTGGGCAAAGGGATCACAGCCCTGCTGGGAGACAAGGGCAGGATCTCACCAAAAAAAACACCTCCCCCGAGGTTTTGGGATGGAATGAAAAGGGCACTTTTAGAATCTTTGGAATGGTGGAATGGTTTGAGTTGGGTGGGTGCATAAATAAAGGGAGACAGGGAAATAGGGAAGGGATGAATCCTGGAATGGGTTGGGGTTCGAAGGGACCTGAAAGGTCATCCAGTTCCAACCCCCTTCCAATAGTCCAGGGTGATCCAAGCTGGCCTTGGACACTTCCAGGGATGGGGCAGCCACTGCTTCTCTGGGAATTCCATCCCAGCCCCTCCCCACCCACACAGAGAAGAATTCCTTCCCAGTATCCCATCTAAATACAGGAAGATCCTCTGGAACATTAAAAGACATTCCAGAGAGCCACATTTCACCCTCTTCCTTCCTTTGGAAAACCTGTTTCCCACTGTTTTCCCTCCAGAGGTTGCTGGTGGACCTCTTGGCACCACATCAAGGGGGGGTTCTGCCACCCAAGAGACTCCCCAGAGCTCCAACAATTCCCACTCTCATCCTGCCCAAAACACCTTCCCTGCCTTATTCCACATAAGAAGTATCCAAGGACTTCACCAGGTCTCACCTCATCCTCCTGGATGGGTCACAACAGTCCCAAATCCAAGAAGGAATTCCCAGAGAAACCGTGGCTGCCCCATCCCTGGAAGTGTCCAAGGCCAGCTTGGAGCAACCTGGGCTACTGGAAACTATCCCTGCCCATGAAAGGGGCTTGGAATTCGATGGTTTTGAAGGTCCCTTCCCACACAAACCATTCCACGATTCCATGGACCTCCTGCTTACCCCTCCAGAAAACAGAGAAGGTCCTCGTGGGACCTGGAAAAATAAAAAAATCCCTTCTAACAAATGATTTTTCTTGGAAGCAGGAAAGGAGAAAGAAATCCTGGTCCCAAAAAAAGTAGGAGCCCAGCTTGGATTGGCAAGCAGGGCACGGAAAACATGGCATTTTCATGGATTTCAGCTGCCTTAAAACTCATGCCTCATATTTCAAGTCCACCAAGTGCTGCCTCCTTGGAAAAGGATCCAGGATTAACGTTGGGATTTTCAGTTAAGTGACGGATTCGGGCTCCTAATTGGTAAATTGGAGCCCGAGGAGCCAGAGCCCCTCCATCTGCTCCACAAATCTGCAGGATTAGGGCTTTAAGGTAATCCAGGAATTTGATGAAATCATTCCAGGGACAAGCTGGAAACACAAGATCCCAATTATTTGGGAAAGCTGCAAAAATCTTGGATCTGAAACACTCGGGAACAAATACAGGAAAAGTCTCATCTGGAATTTAATTGTGGATTTACCCCGAAGGAACCCACCCACCCTGCAAACACTGTTGGAAAAAACAACTAGAAATAAGGAAAAGCAGGAGGAATCCCACCCAGGAAGCCCAGGGAGGGATCATTCCAGGTTTTCTCCAGCTGGGACACCACTGGAAACGATCCCTGGAATAAAACCCAACCCAACCACGAAGGCAACACCCAAATTTGAGCCCCCAGAGACTCTCAAACAAAGATGACACCACCAAACTCTCATCCAGAAAGAGCTGCTGGTGCAGATGGAGCCCAAGCTATGCACAATTATTTTTTTAAGTAATTAAAAGCTGATTAAAAACACGGCAATTGACGACGTTTCTTCCTACCCGAGACATTAACCCATAACTGGAACTCAAAGCTCCCAAAGTTCAAGTTTTCAAAGCTTCCAAAGCTAAAATGTCAACGTTTCCAGACGAGATCTGTGCGAATTTGCCAGATCCAGAGCCCAGCAAGACAAATCCACGGGGAAACAGATCCCAAAAATATGCAAATGAGGCACGTCAGAACCACAGAAATCCATCCAAAAACTCCACAGCCCCCGGAGCAACTCCTGGAGGTGGAAGCAACTCTTCCTGTGGGACATTTCACCACCTGAGACCTCTCCCCTCCTGGAAAAGGTTTGTTTGGAAGCAGCCAGAGGATTTTAAAGGTTTTTTTGAGGGGAAATGAGGAGCAAAAACTCCTGGAAAACACGGGCAGGAAGTTGGAGAACTGCAGGGGAGAGAGGAGGGAAGAGGCACGAGGGGAAGGACTTCCCAAAACAACAGAGAATGTCCATGGACACTTTGTGTGGAGGAAAAAAAAAAAGGGGGGAATGAAGGGAAGGAGGGAGATGGAGGAGAGGAAAACACTGGGATAGCTCTCCAAGATATTCCAAATGTGTCAAAGATGTCACTTCGAGAGCGATGAAGGGGTTTAGGAAGTTGATTTCTCCCCCTGGGAAACTCCTGTAGAGCTGGGAAGGGTTTTCTCCCTGTCTGGGAAGTGTCTTCTCCACCAGATTCCATGAGATTTCTCAGATCCCATCCAGGTTCTCAATCCAACACCAAAATGTACTGGAAAATGAGGTACTGGAGCCCTTGCTGCGAAAGCAAAGCCCTGGGAGGACCTTGGGTCGGGATCTCAGTTCAGGATTTCTGGTGATCTCCTCACACCTCGTTTTCCTCAGTTTTTTTATGGAGTTGGAGAAATGCAGCAGCTCCTGGGATTCCAGCACCTCTGGATCTCAAGAGGAATTCCCCAAACATCATCCCCTGCCTGGCATGGATCAATAGAAACATCATTCCAAAAGCCACCACCAGGTAAAACCCACAGCCCAGGCTGCAGCTGCTCCTGGAAATGGAAAAGCATCCCAGAAATTCCATGGAGAGTGGAGAAATGCAGCTCCTCAATTAAACACTCAGTCCAGGGGAAAAAAAACACCATCACAAGTGTAAAAATGTGATTTTTAAATCCAAATATAACTGGGGGAAGCCAAGAGTGAAGAAGGGACCACGTCCACCCTCCAACAGCTTCTCTTCCCAGGATCCCAAAAGCTTTTCCTGCCCAATTTGCAGCCAAAACCCACAGCAGGAGTTCCCAAATAAGCAGGGATGGATTTAAAACCAACTTACATAAGGGGATAGGGTGGGGAAAAAAAAGAACAACCCCACACAAAACCCACTTTTGGGTTATAAAAGGGATTTTCCTTCTTTAATTCCATCCAGGTTGAGGTCAAGCCTGGAAGGTCAGGAGAAAGAGGGGTCCTTTCAACCAGGCTTTGGGGTTGTGATTTTGGGGGGGTCTGAAGAAGTGGCCACGTCGAAAATGAGACTTTTCCTGGGTGGTTGGAAAGGAAAAGAGAGGAGAGGACTCTCCCATAAATTGTGTGGGAGAAGGGGAACAGCAGGGAGGGGAGGGGGTAAATTAAGGAAGCCACGAGGAGGAAGGAGGGGTGGGGTCAACCGAGGCGTGGAGTTCATCCCCTCTGACACAGCAGGACTTGCTGAGCTGGGAAGGGACTCCCAGGATCATCCCATCCCACGGTTTTCTGGGAGCAAAGCCCAGAAACCACCGGCAAAACCCCGCTGAGTCAGACCCCTCAGCACAGGGAGGTGGCAGGAAAACTCAAAATTCCTCAGCCAGGGTTTCCATGAGGGAAAAAAAAAAAAAATAAAAATAAAAGAGGCCAGAAGAGCCTTTCCAGAAGTGGCCAAGATGAATAAACCCCCTTTGAAGGTCATCAAGGGTTCTGCCAACTCAACCCCCTTATCACCTGGGATGACTAAGGAGGTTGTTCAGCTCAGGAGGACCCACCTGGGCTGTTAAACCGGGCAATTCCCGCTTGGATCTGGTTCTGGAAGTAAATCCCCAGGGGAGATGTTTGCTCAGAGCGGCCTTTGCACTCCCCCACCTCCAATGAGCCCCGGGAGATGGAGCCTGGATTGCTCTGGGGTGACAGGACACACCTGGAAAGAGTCATCCGTGCCCAAACCAGGCTTCCCCTCCCAGCTTTTCCAGGACAAACTGGATCACCTGGAGCAGGGGGTGGAGGCCAACAAGTCCAAAGGGCAAATCCAAGCACAAAGGGACACTTTTGTTTCCAGGAGAGGAGCGACAAGTGGAGGAAAAGCGAAACTGGAAGGGGATTAAGGGATCAAAGGAGGGAAAACACAATCCTTGGATGTGCTGCTGGAGTTGTAAGGAAGAGCTTGAGGAGGTGCTGCTGTATCCTCGTCCAGGGGATCAGGAATGTGCTGGGAAAAGGCCCAGAAGGATCTCTCCAGAGAAAAGGGGAAGGGGTTGGAAGCTGGGAATGAAGTGGCAGCCCTAAGATTGCAGGGAAAGCTCCTGGAGGTACTGGGAGAGCATGGACCAAGCTGGGCCATCTCCAAGGCCAGCTTCAGCCACCCCCAGGATTCCTGCCAGTCAGAGAATTCCCAC